TCGTCTAGTCGCGGTTGTTCACTCAATTCAGGAATCGAAGTTTATTTAAGTGTTCTCTCAAGCAGGAAAATTAATCGTCGAAGTCGAAGATCCTTACGATTATCTGTATTAAATTTATAAATTTTATAGAAAAAATAGCTGATATTCAATTTTTTTATCGCACACCGATCAGTTGTAAAAATAAACAAAAAATATCACATCAAATTCACTTCTGGAATACGATTTGTCGCGATAATTACTTAATAAGAAAACAGCACACACAACGACGCAGGCGAAATCTCGGCTCTACTCTATCGCATATATTTTTATATATAATACCTCGTTCTAAGGACAAGGTTGACTCGCCGGGGGGGGTTGGTACTAGTACTAGTACTAGTATACACGAGGTGACATGGACGGACTGATAGTACAGCAGATACTGCGGCAGCAGCCGCCGGCGTGGCTGAAATTCTTCCTCTCTCTCTCTATCTTATACCTGGCAACGTCGGGAATTGTTATAATGTAGGAGCGCCTGCGCTATGCCTTAGTCTCGTCGACGTCGCGGTGGTATATATATAGTATAAGTACACCGACGACGGTGACGCTCAACAACAACCCTACTTGCCTATGTTACCCCATACGTATCTCTATATATACACACACGTACGCGTTTCGTGCTGCAGACTTCGATTTACCCCCCGTGACGCCGCAGCCCCGACCGCTGCGTCTCTCTCCCTCTCGTGCGACTATACGAAGTACACCCATGGAATATACGTATACATGTGTGTGTGTGTGTGTGTGTGTGTGTGTGTGTGCGTGCACCCAGCATGGGAATGCTTTTCTGCTGCTGCTGCGCCCTGTGATGTGCGCGAGACGGAGAGAAAGAGCAGTCCATGGGGGTTTTTGCACGCAACTCTGCCTTCGAAGCAACCATGATGTTTCGCTCCTGCTTTACTCTCTGCGTTATAAAGCTGTAGCCATACTGCGATCGATCGATGTGTACATACGCGGCAATTTTTTCCTCTCAATTTTCTTCGACGAGTCGTCGTCGCATGGTTAATTGTACTTTTAATTAATAAAGAGAACGAATAAAAGAACTCGAATCGTTATCAATTTTATTTTTCGTTCCGACATTCGGATGATATTTCCTACGATATTGTTCTCGAGTAATTCGACTAAATGCTTTATTCCAGCGTACCTCTCGAAGCATCCCAGACAATATAAAGCTCGGGCATATTTATAATATTATATAATATATATATTCTGAATACAAATTGTACTCGCAAAAGCTCCACGATTGTCGATTGTCTCTCTCTCTCTCTCTCTCTCTCTCTCTCTCTCTCTCTCTCTCTCTCTGAGCGAGACTCGAAGGGGGTAGTAGGTATACATAATAGCTCCCGGCCGAGCTGCCTGAATTTAATGGAAAAACTGTATACACAGACGACGCGCTGCTGCTGCTGCTGCCAGGCTGTGTATGGCGCGGATGCCGCTGTAAACAATTATTCCGCCTCCCGAGAAAGGGAGAAAAGAGAAATAAAGAGGGAGAGAGGAAAAAGAGCGCAAAGAGTGTTTGTACACCTTATACACAATTTAATATGGAAAATACTGCCGTGTGGCAAAGCGCGCGCAAAAAATAAAATTCTGCCGCGCCTGATAATGAAGTCACGAACGTGACAGATGGGTTGCTGGTGCGGTGGTGGATGCCGAGTAATGCCGAGAATGGCAACAACGATGATGATGATACTCGGGTGCGGACGAGAGGGTATATAATATACGCGAACGAACCCTATGCGCGTGTAAAGCTCCGAACGAGGCTGTGAGTAATCGGGTCGAACATTTATATCGTAAACACCAATTGGATTCGTCATATAATCCGGTGTTCACGGCACCGGAGCTACGTAGCTGCAGTTGAGATTAATAATGGCTCTCCACAGATTCTGGGATTTCTTTGTTTTTTTTTTTTTTTTTTGACTCGTCGAGAATAATTGCAATTCTTAATTTTCCAACAAAAGAAACCTAAGGAAATCGATACCTCGATATAGAGATACTATTCGTTTGTATAACGATACTTGTGAGTTTTGAAACTCGAAGTGAATCATAGAAATTAATTGCGAAGAGTAACGTATACAAGAGAGCAAACAAGAGCCTCTCTCTCTCCCTGCGACTGCGAAATGGCACGTTCGAGATAGACGCGGTAATATTAAATTTCTCTGTCTACAACGTTCAATTTTTGTGCCTCGCGAATTATTACTATTATCGGCCTTGGCCCCTTAAATATTCTAAAAAAACGCGTAACAATATGAATTCATGTAAGCACCACCAAGCCACCCCCGCCGATTCGCATATACACACGTATAGACCTATAAAAAGTTTTACAGCGAGAATAATTTACGACTCTCTGTCTCTCTCTCTCTCTCTCTCTTTGCTCTCCGCAGAGAGACAAATTAACTCACCGCACCCGATGATAAACTAGCGAGCGCACGAGCTCGTCAGGACTTTCATTGGAAACTCGTCAAAATGATTTAACCGCACGACGAGCGACATAAAAGTTAAAGAGCCGCGCACAGCACACGTGCGCGCGAATCAGTCAAAAATACAACACTTTATCTAATGTGTATGTCTTCCCGATAGGGAATAATAATAAAATTAAACCGATCTCGAATCGGCACGACCGATTATCGATTCTCAATGTATACCGCCATACATATCCACTCTGTTAGCACGAGTCATCATAAGTATAACCGAGAAATACAATAGATGAATATTCAGTGCAACGGAACGTCGTTGGCACGCGCGTATACAATATACATACGTATATCTCCTTCCTGTACACGTTTTTGGTGCGCATTTTGCGCTGCTACTGTCCCGGTGCGTGATACGCAATGCGAATAGTGACTACACGCGCCATTGTCGAGCGCGAAAGAGAGAGAGAGAGAAAAAAAATAAACAAAATAAAATTGAGCGCTCAAAGCTTTGTGTATCGGCGATTGTTGCGCGTCGACGACGAAGCCGAATAATACAATATTATTATACACACAGACACGATGCGCGATTCGTATGTATAATAGAAATCGATCGTCGCGTATCGCGTCGAGAGAGAGAGACATTTCAATTGATAAATGACATTGGCACATCTGTTCCTTTTCTTCGAGATCGAGTTGCTAAGACAGAGAAAGAAAAATACAGTAGTCGTGTCGCAAGCAGCGCCAGACCCCCGCGAGACAATCGTTCGTGTCAATGTACCAGGAGAATGCAGTGCGTTTTTTAATTGAAAAAAAAAATAACAACAACAACACTTAATTGGGAATCGAGTCTCTCTTTGTGATCATTGATCAATCCTTCCCATTTTCAAGATTACATAGTTTTTTTTTACGAGTAGTGTGAAATGACTAACAACGCGTCGTAACAATGAATCGTCGTACATATAAGTACATACAAATATATACCGCTAAATTATACCCTATTATTGCTACAAAAGCACAATGAATCAAATTCAATGGCGACTCGCTCATTATTCACGACAATAAATTTCAGCCACCCATCGCGTAGGTGCCGACTACAATGTAATAGAAAAATTTCGGAAGCCAAACGCCAGAAGTCATTTAGTCTTCAGAGCAATGTTAATCGGACGTAATGCATAATATAGCAACGTAACTTTAAACACTGCTGCATCGTCGCTGCTGCTGCTACTCGGCACTCTGAATTATACATTATTTATGCGCCGTCCATCCACAGTCAAAGAATATAAGAAGAATAAGAATAAGAAGAGCATGACGGGCATTAATAAAATGATAGCTGCGCCGAAGTTCATTCAACTTGCGCGCGCGCACGCCGGTATATAATATGCCCCCAGCACACGACTTTAGAGAGCTTCTGATATGTATACGTACAAAAATGTAAATCGATGCGCGCGCGCGCGAGGCGAAAAACTTTTCTCGAGACCCAATGTATTTTTCCTCTATTTTTCATAAATACCACGGATCTCTACGGAGCGGTGCGTATTATAAGCGTATCGATCAATGTCAACTGCAGAAGCATTGTATAATAACCGATTTGTGCAACGAGCTATGCTTTGCGCGCGTGGCTGTAAAAACACAATCTCGTCTAGCTCATTTACTTAAGATTTCTGTTGATGTTTCTCGGATGATAAATGCGGAGAGAAAATTGTATCGTCGATTTCTCCTGGCCGAGAGGCTCCGTGCAACGTTACTTTTATTTATCACGAACCTCGACGGAGTAAGAAGATGAAAACGAAGTGAAAATTTTTTTTTCTTCTTCAATGAGATAATAAACAAGAAGGTATACAGAGTAAGAAGCATCGGTCGTGGTTGCTATACGCTTGGGCGTCGCGAGGCAAAGCACGACATCTGCTGAAATAAAGAGACTTCCTGGTGGCGATATTCAATGTCATTTCTCGTATTCGTGTGTTCTCGTAATTCAATCAGCCGCGTGCGGCTTTGCTGCGTACATAATATATAAAACTCCTCACGGGAGTAGCCGATTTTTCGAGATACATGACTCGTCAAGAAGATAATATACCGAGTAAGGAAAATTCGAGTATCAGAATTTTTTCGTTTGCCCGAGTTTGTATTCGCGCTGTAGCACATAATTTATTTCTTGGTATATTTATAAATTTTTTTTTATTTCATATAAGTGAGGATAGGTAAAGATGAGAGTGTTCTTGTAACAAATAACAATTTATTTAATAACAATATGTATAATGTAGACAGCATAAAATAACATCGAAATGAAATACATAACAAACTCGTTGTCTCGTTGTCAAGTTTACTAACGAGACTCTGCTTGTCACAAATAACAATTCATCTAATAACTATGTATAAAATATACAGCATCGAATAACATCGAAACGAAATTATATAATAAAATGAATAACAAAAAAATGAATATAATAAAATGAAAATAATAAAATGAATATAATAAAATGAAAATTAATTATATAATAAAATGAATAACAAAAAAATGAATACAAAAATTAGAAATAAATAACAAAAAAAAAATGTTCACGATCGTTTTCGTTTTCGGTTTCGCGCATCGTCGCGAGCAGCAGCTTCGCGGAGCTCGGCCGAGGCCGTCATACTCCAAAAATCTTTGCTCGACAGATGCTCGAAGACCATGTTCAAGCAGAGATCCGGCAATGGCTGCGGGAAAGAATGCCAGGCCCAGGCTCGGGTGAACTGCCTCAGCAGCGTCGAGGTCATCTTGCGCCGAACTGCGTCTCGAGCATCGTCGTCGGCCAAAGCCTTCAACACTCGTTTTTGCGCAATCGCCAGCTGGCCGAAGGTAACCAGCTTGAACGTCCTCTCGAGCGGCAGGTGCATGAAGTCGTGCAGCGACACCGATTTACCGATCATTATGCGCTTCGAGCTGTCGGTGAATTTGTCCTGGTTGAACGATTCCACCGGGTCGCCGAAGGCGAATCCGAGCTTGTGGAACACCTTCATGAGGGTCAAGGCGTCGGACCGCTTCAGCTCGTATCCCTTGTGCTGCAGACGTCGCACGATGCTCGTGGCGTCCAATATCACAGCCAATCTGTGCGCGTTCTTTTGGTGCTCGAATTCTTTCCGAAGACGCGGACTGCGCTCCTGCTCGCGAGTCATTCGCTCTTGAAGTACGTGCGTGTTAACGTACAGCTCGTCGAAGTCCTGGACGCTGGGAAATTTGAAGCTCGCCGGATCGCTGGTGCTGCGCAAATAAACGTCGACGAGCTTAGGCCGGAGACTCGCCACGGCCCACTGCAGCAGCGAGCGAGTCCCGTCGTAAGGCGCGTCCAGCCGCATGCGCAGCGGCTGCTTGAACTCGCAGCTCATCTTGTAGAGCATATCCACCAGGCCGTCTTGGCTGTGATTCCCGTAGATGGTCTCCACGGGTGTGAGTCCCTCGGCGTTGGTCGCGTTCAAGTTCGCGCCGCCGCTTTTCAGCAGCAGCCTTATCAGAACTCTGTCGCCGCTTATCTTTACAGCGTAGTGTAGCGGCGTGTTGCCCGACTCGTCCTGAGCATCGACCGTCCGTACGATGTGATGCCGGCTTCCGTAGATGAGCCTGAAGAATTTATCCCCCTTGTAAGGCTCAACGTCGGTTGAACCTTCATAAGTAATGGGTTTTCCCTGGCAAATGATGTGCAGAGGAGTCAATCCTTTTTCATTGGCCACGTTCGGATCTGCTCCTCGTTTGAGCAGTAATTTTACCGCGGCCTGGAAGTTCTTTGTAAGAGCCACTTGCAGCGGGGTAACGCCCTTGTCGTCCTGGACATCGATCAGGACCTCCCTCTGCATCTCGTCATTGACCTTGAAGAACATCCTCATTATTTCGACCCGATTGAACTTTTCGAACATCGCGTGCAGAGGTGTGCGGCCCTCGTGATCGAGCGCGTTCGGGTCGGCGCCTCGCCTCAGCAGAAAATCGCCCAGCCGAGTCTTGTTGTTGGCCAGAGCCAAGTGCAGCGCGGTCCGGCCCTGATTGTTGCGCGCGTCGATCGGCAACGTTCCGTCTCGGCACAGCAATTCCGCCATTTCGCCGGCGCCGCATATCGCACGGCTCAAGCCGTGCAGGCACGTCTCACCGTTGGCGTTGACAAGACTGGGATCGTGGCCGGCATCGAGTAATCTCTCGACGCTGGCCTCGTCGCCGTACTGGCAGGCGAGGTGCAAGCTGCTGTAGACGCGCGAGGACATCTTTCTGAACGCTTGCACTTGGGCACGCACACGACGCACGATCACACGCACGCAATTGCTTTATTACATTCACTGATGCGACGACCGATGATGCTACAGACACGAAATTTTTTTTGGTGTTCACGCTACTAAGCTACAACGGCTACTGACCATCTTCTATATGCGTGGGCCGGACTGAGCTCGCTCTAGCCCACTGCGTCGTTTCTTGCCCCGGACACTTTCTAATTGCGGCGTCATTTTTCCGAAAAAAATTCATTTTTACCGAGAAAATTGACTCGGAAGTTAATTCAATTTTTCGGCAAGTATTCCCCCTTCGATTTTATCCGTAGATATCTCAATCGATAGGTAATTTAATAACGAAGATTTTAAAAAAAAATTCAAGTTCGAAACTCAAACGGTTAAAAAGTTATGAACAATTAAGAAGCAAAAAATCGTAGTTTAACGGCCGTGCATGCCTTCTCTTCTCGTCGGCTCCCGTTACCCTCTCTCCCAGTGACTGAGCGGAGCGCAGCCTCGTGCAGCCAGAATTTGTCTTTGTATACACTTAGAAAGTAGAGATTAAAGCTACATGCACATCTGTTCAATTTTGGTAACTTTCTGATCTGTCGCGGCTGCAAGATAAAGAGAGACTTGTATCTTCAAAAAGAAAAAAGTTGATTTCCATGGAGAAAATTGACTTCAAAGTTAACTCAATTTTTCGGCAAGTATGCCCCCTTCGATTTTATTCGTAGATGTCTCAATCGGTAGGTAATCTAATAACGAAGGTCTGTGTAAAATTTCAAGTTGGAGACACAAACGGTTCAAAAGTTATAAACAAATAAGTAGCTAAAAACGTAGTTTTCGGACGGATTCTGTCCGCGCGCGGCTGCTGTCCGCTCAGCCGGTAGGAGAGGGGGTAACAGGAGTCAACGAGAATATAAGATGCGTGCGGCCGGAATTCGTCCGAAAACTACGTTTTTAGCTACTTATTTGTTTATAACTTTTGAACCGTTTGAGTCTCCAACTTGAAATTTTACACAGACCTTCGTTATTAGATTACCTACCGATTGAGACATCTACGAATAAAATCGAAGGGGGCATACTGGCCGAAAAATTGAGTTAACTTTGAAGTCAATTTTCTCCATGGAAATTAACTTTTTTCGAAAAACTGATACCACCATTGGAAAGAACAGACAAAAATCTATCGGAATGCATATGCGCAATATTTTTTCAGACCCTCTCGCTCGCGTAGCTCGCGCGCAATATTTTTTAAAAAATGACCCGCGCGAGCCCACTGTCTGGTCGAGCGTGGAATACGTCATAGGTTGTTCACACTCCGAATCGAACCTCGCTTTTAGCATCTAATGGGTATACCTAAGATTGATTAAAATTTTTTCGAAGATGTTAGCCATTAGGTGGTGAATAATTTTAAATAGGTATGATGAAGGAAAGTATCAAAGTTGGAAAAAAGTTGAGTATTCGCACGCCTTTGTCAGCAGAGATATACGCAGAAGATTGTTCCATGATCTTGCGCGAATACTCGAAAGGATGTATTTCACCGCTGCCTACTATACGAAAACGAATACTCAATAATTTGCAGCGAAAACAATGACGTTTGAAAATTCGGGCAAGACTTTAGAATTCTTCATTTACACCTACGAATAAAAAAAGCGTCACAACTGCTTCAGAGAAGAAAAATTGGTCTTGAAATTTTTCCAACATAAACTATATTTCCAACAGCAGTGTCCACGAAAACTATTACAACTGAATTTGTTGTATTATGGAAAAATATATAAATATAAATGTAAATATATTTAAGAGTAGTTTTTTTCGTTGGTAATAATCAAAAATTAATTTTTTTCAAGGAACATAATATATAAGCAATCATAGTTTTCTTTGGTAAAAACTTCTAAATTACCGTTTATAATAACACACATGTCACAATAATTTTTTTGATCGAATTAGTTGTAGCGTTGTTGTTGTTGCAGGAAGCATCGATTTATTGACAACTATCCCTTAAAACCAAAGGAAAATGAAAATAATCGTCAATTATTTTTATCTTCTCATAGCAAATCATTTTCTTACTTCGTGTATATTAATAAGTATTGCGTTAATGTAGGCAGATATGATACGACCAATTAATAATTTTTATTAATATACGCGCCTTTTTCCAGGAGTGTCAAATTGAGGAATCAAGAGAAATTAATCATAATTATGAACAGAGGCATTTTGGCTACCGATTGAGAATGGTAAACCACCGAACTGTTACGCTCGATTCGCATGATATTTTCGAATTCAAAGTATCGGGCCCAATTACAAAGAGAGATATAATTACAGCATGATATAATTTTGACGAGTTCATCCTTCGAATCGATTTAACTCGCGAACGATCGTCTCCGATATAAATATTAAATTCGAGCTTGTTTCCTATATAGTTCGCCGTGGAAAATTCACAGCTCGTTTCACGATGCCCTCGGCGCGAAGGAAAAGTGAGTAAAAAACTTTTTTATATGTAACAACGAGACTCTCGCTGCGGCGCAGGTGCATCGGTGGGCCCCGTTCTATACGTCGAGTATTCTCAATTTTTTTCCTCCTTCTCCGCTTCTTCTCTAACGCAAACATCCGCTCTCTCTCTCTCTCTCTCTCTCTCTCTCTGGGCTCTCTCTCGACACTCTTCGTTGTGTGTGTCTGTGTAAAGTGTATAAAGCGCATCCGTACTCTCCGCTGAATGCGAGAGTTAATTATTTTATAAGAAAAGCGGAAACAACGCAGCGTTGGAGAGAGAGAGAGAGAGAGAGAGAGAGAGAGAGAGAGGCAGAGAATAAACCGCAGTGAGTGTCGGGATCGTGTATATATGTATGCGTATATATATGAAAAAAAGAGAAGGAGAGAAACAGGCAAAAACAGAAAAACATAAAAGTTTGCGCGCAGCGGAGCTTTGTGCACCGGCAGGGTTTCGTACCTCTCTCTCTCTCTCTCCTCGACTATAATATAAAGCGAGAGTTACATACCCTCGACCGGACTCGAACCAAAGCCATAAAAAGAAAGGACTCCTCGACACACACCGAGCTTAGGAAGCGAAAAAAATTATCTGTATCGAAAGAAATTTTGACTTTTTTCCCGTATTTCATTCGATTACCGCATGTATGAACGATCGCGACGATAGATCATAGAAATTGTACAAACTCGCCATATATCTTCGCTCTCGCGCGCTGACAAAATGAAGTTATATCGCTCGACAGCCATACTAAGCGCGCGTTAAATACGCGATGCGTGAGCGCTGTCTACAGCATAAGTGACACACAAGTGCCCCCGAGAGTTGAATGACTCGGAAGTTTAAAGTCCAGAACGCGCTGATGGAAGAAAATATGCCTATTATGCGCGTGTGTGAGATAACAGGAGGCGCGCGCGAGCGAGAATTGACCCGTAAATCCAGTTTAGAACGAGCGCTAATTATTTAACGAGCTGAAAGTGAATATTTTTCACTTTTGTCACGTTTAACTCGCGGCGAAAATCATCGCGTCCGCAGGAAAACGACCGAGTTAATATATATATATATTGCTTCCTCATAGAGGAAGCTTTGTGATGGGCTCCATTTCGGCTTTTTTATAGAGTAATCGTAGGGTATATTTAATGATATTTCTATATACTAGATCGAATTTCTGACACATGTTGGTATGTGTGTGTGTGTGTGTGTGTGTGTGTGTGTGTGTGTGTGTGTGTGCGGCTGTATGTCTGTGTAGAGTGATTCCTCGATAACGGTAGCACGTATCGTGACGGGGTTTGGCTTATTTTGTTCGTTATTATGTAAGGATGAAGCCAGAAAATTGTATTTAGCGATAAAGGAAGAAAAAAAAATTTTTTTTCGATTTTTAAAAATTTTTGGAAATTTTTTTATGTCTGTGTAGAGTGATTCCTCGATAACGGTAGCACGTATCGTGACGGGGGAGGGCTTTTTTTGTTCGTTATGATGTAAGGATGAAGCCAGAAAATTGTATTTAGCGATAAACGAAGAAAAAAAATTTTTTTTTCGATTTTTAAAAATTTTTTTTTACGGGAAAAATTTTTTTTGCGGGAAATTGTCGTTTTCTTCCTTTTGCTCCCTCATATAGGAAGTTTTGTGATGGGATACATTTAGGCTTTCGTATATAATTATCGTAGGATATATTTAATGATATTTCTATATACTAGATCGAATTTTTGACACATTTTGGAATGTATGTGGGTGTATGCGGCTGTATGGCTGTGTAGAGTGATTCCTTGATAACGGTAGCACGTATCGTGACGGGGGAGGGCTTATTTTTTTCGTTATGACATAGGGACGAAGCCAGAAAAATTGATTTATCGATAAACGTAACGTTTTTTTTTCTATTTAAGAAAAAAATTTTTTTTTGCATTGTTTGTTTGAGATACCCGATAAAGCTGAGAGGCCCTTTCGTTTCGCTTTCGTAATTAGAAAGATGATATTAATATTTTCAAATTATTTTTAAGTTAAAAAAAAAGTATGAGGAAGCTACTTGCCAATACATTGGCAGCGGTTTTTTTTTTTATGTACGGAATGAATGATCGAGTTAACGAAATTTGTCAATGCGAAAAATGATCATCGAGCTGAACGAGAATGCGGATGAAGGTTTATGAGTCGCAGCGTGTTGTTTTAGTGATCGTTGCCGGCTGGCCTACCGAATTTAGCAGTGACTCCAGCGCACGACTAACCAGTGTATGTATATACATGCCGCCGTGCATCACCAAGAAGTATGTAAGTCGCCAGGCGAAATTGAAATTAGAGACGCAGAATAGAAAGTATTTGGAAAAACTTAGTGAGAGCATGAGCGAACAAGAGAGAGAGAGTATACTCTCAATTATAATTGTATAATTTTATGCACGCGCAGGAAATTTCGATCAGATGTGTTTTGTAGATTAGTTAGTCTTTGAGAGAATATTGGTCGAATATAACGACGTTTTCTTGGAA